AAGAACAGCTTGGCAGTTCCTGGAATGTGAAGACAGAGTTCCATATGCCCCAGCCTTTCCTCTCCAGGTAGATATCCAGGCGCACTGAAAACACATGCTCACACAGACACCTGCCCGAGTGTCGCGAGCAGCACTCTTCCTAACAGCCAGAACACAGACACAACCCAAAAGTCAATCAGTGCATGAATGCAGTGAACCAAACGTGGCAGAGCCATACAATGAAATATTATCCATCCCAGAAGGCAGTGGAGTGTGGCCCTCCACATCCATATTACAACCTGGGCGAGCCTTGGAAACATTACGCCCAGTGAGAGACACCAGGCACGAGACCGCCTACTGTATGATTCCATTTTCATGCAATGTCCAGGAATAGGCAAATTCACAGATTCGCGGGATGCCGGGGCTAGGGTTGGGAGAATGGAGAACTGCTCACCGGGGATTGGGTTTCTTTTTAGGGTTATGAAAACAACCATCCGCACTGGGAATGGGAGCCAGTGCTGAGGTGCAACAGGTTAAGTGGTCGCCTGCGACGCTGCCATCCCATAAGAGTGCCAGTTTGAATCCTGACGGCTGTACTTCCAATGCAGTTCCCTGCTAATGTGTCTGGGAAAGCAGTGGAAGATGGCCCGAGTGCCTGGATGGAGTTCCAGGCTCCCAGCTTCAGCTTGGCCCATTTCAGCCATTTGGGTAGTGACCGAGTAGATGGAAGATCTCAACTTTTTTTTTTTTTTTTTTTTTTTGACAGGCAGAGTTAGACAGTGAGAGAGAGAGAGAGAGAGACAGAGAGAAAGGTCTTCCTTCCATTGGTTCACCCCCCAAATGGCCACTACAGCTGGCTGTATCAATCCAAAGCCAGGAGCCAGGTACTTCTCCTGGTCTCCCATGGGGTGCAGGGCCCAAGCACTTGGGCCATCCTCCACTGCACTCCCGGGCCACAGCAGAGAGCTGGCCTGGAAGAGGGGCAACCGGGACAGAACTGGTGCCCCAATCGGGACTAGAACCTGGGGTGCCGGCACCGCAGATGGAGGATTAGCCTAGTGAGCCACAGCACCGACCAAAAATTTTTATTTACTAATTTGAAAGGCAGCGTTAAAGATGAGATATTCCTGGCCGGCACCGCGGCTCACTAGGCTAATCATGCGCCTGTGGCGCCAGCACCCCGGGTTCTAGTCCCTGTTGGGGCGCTGGTTCTGTCCTGGTTGCTCCTCTTCCAGTCCAGCTCTCTGCTGTGGCCCGGGAGGGCAGAGGAAGATAGCCCAAGTACATGGGTCCCTCCACTCACATGGGAGACCGGGAAGAAGCACCTGGCTCCTGGCTTCGGATCGGTGCAGCGCCGGCCAGAGCGGCCATTAGGGAAGTGAACCAATGGAAGGAAGACCTTTCTCTGTGTCTCTCTCTCACTGTCTATAACTCTCTCTCTCTCTCTCTCTCACTGTAACTCTGCCTGGCCAGAAAAAAAAAAAATTCAAGTGGGAATGTACTAAAAACCACTGGATTACACATTTTTTAAAAATATTTTATTTTTTTATTTGAGAGGTAGAGTTACAGATGGAGGGAGAGACAGAAAGGTCTTCCTTCTGTTGGTTCACTCCCCAAATGGCTGCAACGGCCGGAGCTGCACCAATCCAAAGCCAGGAGCCAAGTGCCTTTTCCTGGTCTCCCATGCAGGTGCAGGGGCCCAAGGACTTGGGCCATCTTCTACTGCTCTCTCAGGCCACAGCACAAAGCTAGATTGGAAGAGGAGCAGTCGGGACTCGAACCGTCCCATATGGGATGCCGGTGCCGCAGGTGGAGGATTAACCTACTGTGCCACAGTGCCGGCCCCCACACGTGGTTTTTATGTGATGTGAATTTTACCTTGCTTTACCAAAACACAAATAACAGCCCCATTTCTACTGGTATGGGAAGATCTACATAGCGTGCTCCCCCTTAGCAGGGGGCGGGGTGGAGGAAGAATACCTAAGTATTTTTAGATAACATACCTTTGCAGTAGGCTCTGGGGAAGACAACTTGCAGGGCAGCTGTGAAGAGACTTCCTTTACAGAGACGCCATCTTGCCCAGTTTCAGTGTTGACCTGTGTGTGTTACCACCATCACCCCCACCCCCGCCAAAGCAAATTAACCTTTTGAAAAGAGTAAATATTTAAATAAAAGGGCAGTTATAAAACAAAAATATGCTCATGGGAAGGCTGTGGACCCATGCTGGGGGCAAACACACCAGGAAGGACATTCTTTGTGTTTACATAACTGTGACAGATATTGGAGTGAATTTTTAATAGAATTAGGCAGTTCCCAAAGATAAGACTAGGTAAATGGTATGATGCTTACACATCAAACTGGAAGGCTGCCGGAGGATGTGACAACAGCGGCAGGCCACCCTGGGGTGGGCAGAAAACCCGCCCAGGTGCCTCCACCACCCCGGCTCCTTCCACGCCAGGGCACTGGGGCCTGGGGTCTGCAAGCGCTAACAGGTAAGGGAGCTCTCTATATTGAAAGGAGCCCGCAGGCCCCATTTCCAGGACTCAAAGAGAAGAAGAGACATGCGAAACACCCACGTGTACAGACCAGCACCCCACTTTCAACTCTCTCAGGGCTGGCATCGCAGCATGGTGGGTTAAGCCGCTGCTTGCAATGCAGTGTCCCCTGTGGGAGTGCTGGTTTGGGTCCTGGTCACTCCACTTCTAACCCAGCTTCCTGCTAATGTGCCTACAAAGGTGGGGGAAGGTGGTCAAAATATTTGGGCCCCTGCCAGCTATGTTGGAGAACCAGATGGAGTTCCTGGCTCCGGGCTTTGGCCTGGCCCAAACCTGGCTCCTGTGGCCATGTGCGGAGTGAACCAGAGGATGGAAGATGTCTTTCTCATTCTGCCTCTCCTGTCCCTCTTTCAAATAAATAAAATAAATAATAAAAAAAAATTCTCTCTTGACTTTAAAGATCTTCCAAGTACGTCACCAACTTTCAAAACCAAATCTGTGGGGCTGGCGCTGTGGCACAGTAGGTTAGGCCTCTATCCACGGTGCAAGCATCCCACATGAGTGCAAGTTCCAAGTCCCGGCTGCTCCACTTCCAATCCAGCTCCCTGCTAATGTGCCTGGGAAAGCAGCAGAAGGTGGCCCAAGTCCTTGGGCCCCTGCACCCACGCGGGAGACCCAGAGGAAGCTCCTGGCCCCTGGCTTCGTACGGGCCCAGTTCCAGCCATTGTGGCCATTTGTGGAGTGAACCAGTGAATGGACAACTTCTCTATCTGTAAGCGAGCCTCTCAAATAAATAAATAAATCTTTAAACAAACCAACCAACCAATGTGCAGGTTTCCTTACAAGTCTCTTGGTCACAGGCCACAGACAAAAGTCCCGTCATCACCCGTCACTGTCACCACCCGCAACCCTAACAAAGCCACTTGTTTCTCCATCTACCCCCAGACCCTGGTTCCTGCTTCTGTCAGATGTACCAGATCTTCCCTCCTAATCTTTAAGGTTCATTCTAGAAGCTGCAGACCCTCCCAAAGCAGCTGGGAGTAAGGCCAGTCCTTCCTGCCCCATCTTTATTTCTAGAGCTGAATTAAAAAATAAATAAATAAAACTGGAAGTTCCGTTTAGGTTTTGCAGTCTGTGACTTAATTTAAGGAAGTATTCTACGAAACCTCTGAAGGGAATCTAAATTTAGACTCAAGTCTTTCACCATCCCTGCCAGGCTCTGCAGCTCGGGAACCCACATGCTGCGCAGTGTAGTGGCGAGGGGAAAACCAGCCTTAAAATACACATCAACGTGTCAGCACTCAGGAAGTGGAGCTGACACTGTTCGGCCCAAAGAAGTCGTCTCCTGGCATCGCCAACATCTTAATTCTTGAGAACAGGGTACAAAAGACCGACAGACACTCCTAGGGAAAGGCGCGGTAAAATCAGGAAGACAGCTTTTCTCGACCAGATTTCTATTAAGCGAGGAACACACTGCTCCACATACCAGGCTGTCTGCAACCATCCAATCAGGCGTCGAGATGCTGAAGTCAACACCCGGTCTGGTCTCCGACAGAGTTCCCTAACAGAAGGGAGGGGACAGCAGCCACTCGCGTTCCAGGACGCCCCCCCTCCCACATGTGTCAACGCACACCTGGACCTCTGAGATGACAAGAACCAAAGCCACCTGAGATGAATGCCAGTTAGCGGGGCGATAATGCTACTTTCCATGTCTGTTTTTAATCTCCAAGAGCAAGGCTGATCCATTTAAAGGCTGATCTTACCCAACGTGCATTCCCACAATAAAATTAAAATATTACATATAATTCTCAAATTTACGTTCAGCAGAGCTATTCCACTTCTGCCTCAAAGCAGCTTCTATTTCGCAAGCCACGTCTGCAGGCCGCGCCCAGCAGATACTGTGAAGAGAGAGCGAGCGAGCAGGGAGTGAGCGCTCTGTGCTCTGCTCTTGGAGGCTTGCAGCCTCCTCTTCTCCCCTCCCCCACCGGCTGGGAAACCTGCCCAGATTCTTCTCGGGCTGAGTGTGGAAGCCCGGCCTTGATAAACACCCAGCCCAGGAAATGCTTTGGATCGTAGACCACTTAGAGTACTTAGTTTGTCCTTTCCCAAGAGGTCTCTCTTCAAACTCGGTTTGATAGGCGGCTTGGCAGCCTCACACTTTCACCAAAGTCTCCGGGAACATTGCTGGGAGATAGAATCATCGCCCTGGATGCTCTACAGGCGCTGCAGGAAGCATGCGCCCGCCCGAGGCCCGAGGCCCGGCTCCTCCAACCCCAGGGCAACTGTTCACACAGCACCTCCAGCAGCACTCCCCGCACAAGTCAGCGAGCCGCAGGGACGGCCGTGCCACCGCGGTCGGTCGCTGCTTGGCGCTGTTAGCATCCGCCAAAAGAACCAGAACAACCTGTCTTCAGTACTTTCTGAAACGTCAGTGGCCTTGCCTCTGTGCCACTCGAAGGCTGACAACTGCACTCGCATCAACCACACCACGGAGCGAGGACTTACAGGACCACTTTCACCTGACGTTTGTTTCTCGTGTCTTGCACAACCACCGGTATCGCAGTGGGATGCCGCTCAAAGGTCTCTAGGACCCACAGGTCCCTACTCTCACAAATTCTTGCCTAAACTTGAACCTTGAACTTCATGAGTTCAAAGACTGATGACGTAAAACCACAGATGCTCCGTCTCCCACAGTGAACATACAGCAAAGTGCTTGCACAGACAAGGATGGTGTCAAGGCCAAACAGCAACAGCCCAGGGGTACACCAGAGCCTTCAGACTTCAGCAAGTACCAAAACCACGCATTTGTTCCGCAGAGTTGGAAAATATACATGCAATAAGTAAGAAGGCAATGTTTATTCTGATCTTTAGCAAATAATCAATAGGGGGTGTAGGCCAAGCTGTAGATGGCAAGAAAAATAAATATCCAGGTTGGTGAGAGCAGGTGGAGGCAGACATCTGCAGAACAGAAGTCCTCTTTCGCTGTTACATTGTTATTCATCTGTGTCCCAAGAAGGCGGGAGCCACTTCCCCTGCGTGCAACCACCCTCAAGCTGTCACCTTCCTGGAAGGAGGCCCCAACGCGGGTGCTCCCAACTGAATGGTGCTGAGCACTTAGATCTGGAGTCGAGAACTGGATTCAGAAACTAGATTCTCTCTTTCCATCGACGTGCAAAGAAGACACAGAACGTCCCAAGGCAGCTCAGAGCAGACTCTCAGTGAAGCCTGAGGCTAGCTGGTCCCTGCCCTGTGCTGGCAGCAGGTGGGTGCTGAGTGACTTCACCGGTCCCTTGCAACAGCCCGGCCACACAGGGATGGTCTGAGGCTGAAGATGAAGCCAGGATATGGCCAAGGCTGCCGGTATGTGGCAGAACTGGGCTGTCTGCCTCCAGTGTACGTCTCCAAAACACGGACAAGGCTGTGGTCCATCCGTGAGTTCCTGGAGCAGGGCAAATACAGCTCAGGACGAGTGCTTAGCACAATTCCTGCCTGGCAAACAGAAAAGGCCTCGATGACTGACAGATAGGTTTACTATTACTGCCAAAGCCACCAGTGCTGAGCTGACTGGACTCTAAAACCCACAGTCTAACCAGAGCATTAGAATATTCACCTTAGAATACTAGGGAGCTGTCCATGAACCTGACCCAGTTCCGTTTTGAATCCGGCGCCCCGACCGGGACTAGAACCCGGTGTGCCGGCGCCGCTAGGCGGAGGATTAGCCTAGTGAGCCGCGGCGCCGGCCCCCAGTTCCGTTTTTAAAAGGCCAAAGAGCTGAAGGGGCACTCCACAGAATGTCGCAACTCGGGAACCGTCAAGCCGGCCCTGGGTAGAATCTCCTTCCAGAGCAGCTGTGGAGACCCCACGCGCTGGGTGCGAGGGGTGCCCAGCTCCAGCACGAGTGATCCGGGGCGAACTAAGCGGAGGAGAAGCAGCCAGAAGCTTCCCCAGGACCCGCCTCCCCCTTTCCTGTGCACTTGCGTTCCGACCTGCTTTGCCCAGGGTACCTGCTTCTAAGTAAAAGTGGGCCCAGGGTCAAAAGAAAAAAAGCAACCACACAAATATCAACTGGAGGAGCCACGGTGGGCTGCAAGACTGTCTGAGACCCAGCAAGCCACTTGAGTCCGTCCTGGGGCAGAAGGGCCCACTGCGCCCGGCTGAGGGCCGAGTGCCCTTCATCTGCACCTCCCGCCCCCGGACTTCTTACCCTCCCCTGCTCGGACTCGCCCTGCCCTCCCTAGGCCGACTCTGTAACTCTGCAGAAAGGGCAAACAGGAGGTGGTTCCCGGCTCTGGCCTCTACCCCCTTCCCAATGCCCCGATGCCACTGCCGGACAACCTAGCACACAGGAGTTACTCAATCAGTGATTTTTATAAAAGGAACTTTGTAAAGCACTTAGTCTAAACTTAGTCCCAGTGAAGGAGCCTTGTAAAACACCCTAGAAAAACCGTCAGGAACACAGCCACGCCACTTCCTGCCTGGTGGAGAAGTCTCCTTCACACCCTTCCTAGACAGTGCTCTGTGTCCCCAGGAGCAGCCACCACTGCTGACCCTGCAGAGCCTGGCCCAGCACTTTCTGTGGCTGCGAGGTGGCAGAGCCAGGACTGGCACCCAGGCTGCTGGCCTAGAGCTCCTGACCTTAGCTGGGGCTAAGTGGGTCCCGTGCTGTTCTCTGGGCCTGCAACAATGAGCCCTTTCTACACAGCAAGCCTCCAAAATCAGAATCCACCTTCTCACTCCCCATCCAACCTCTGACTCGTGTCACCACCGCTCCCAGACTCCTGGGCCTCCCGCTAACGTCGCCTGCTCTCTGATCCTCCACCTGCCTGCGCCTCTGCCTCTCACCTGACCTTCAAGGTGGCCACACTCTCGCTCCACCAGGCCTCTGCTCGTGCTGTCACCTCTGAGTCCCTCTTGCATCCAGATCTTTCCAAAGGCCTTTCAAATCTGGCCACCCCACAGCTTCGCCGGCCTGCAAGGAGCTCCCCTCTCACCTGCACTTCTGTTGTCATGTAACTGCTCCTACTGAATGCCACTTCCCTGTGTGCTGCGGGGCTCCTGGGAGTGAGGACTGGCCTCTCTCTCCATTCCAAGATACCCGTGATCCCGCACCACACGCAACAGTGAGTACAGCGAGCGTGGATGGCCTCGGTACGTATCTTCCTTTAGAAATAACTGGACAAGAAAATTAATATTAAATTCTAATGCAAAAATTATAAGTGCTAAGGTTAAAGAATCAAGACTCATTGAAATAATAATTTCTCCTTTATGACTTAATAAGGATATATTTCCTTTAAAAATATGTAAATTTGTACAGCAATACACTAGGATAAAGTACATTTATCTGATATTTGCTTATTTACAATAAAACTATTCTCTAATTAGATGTTCTTTCATACTTTAACAAACTTTAAAATGATCTGAACTGGGTCCATTCAAAGTGCTGGGCACTTCGCAGGCCAGGGCAGGCGTTCTGTGCAGCAGTTAAGCCAGCCCCTGGATGGCCTCTCCATGTCAAAGTCCCTGGGTTGTAGTTCTGACTCCATCTCCAATCCAGCGTTCTGCTGATGCACACACTGGGAGGCAGCAGGTGATGGCTCAAGCACTTGGGTTCCTGCACCCTTGTGGGAGGCCCAGATTAAACTCCCAGTCCCTGGCTTTGGCCTGGCCCAGCCTCAGACACTGCAGACATTTTGGTCATAAACCAGAGAGTATAAGATCAATCTCTGTCTCTCTGTATTTCAAATAAATTAAATAAACCAATATCTTAAAAAAAAAAAAAAAAAAAAAAAAAAAAAACGGAAACAGGCCATGTCAGTGAGTCAGGAGACAGTGGTATAAAATACAAACTGATAACTTCCTGTTCAGTACAGGCTGGGTCTCGGGGGGGGGGGGGGAGGAAGAGGCATCCTTCCTCCACACACTCACTCAGGGACCCAGGCTCCAGCCCATGACACATGGCCTCAGGGCGCTCCACTCCACGGCAGGGCTGGAGGCTCTGAATGCTTCAGCCCCCAGTGGGACCCAAGTGGCTTCCCACAGCTCCCTACCCAGACTAGGCACGGGGTCCCACCTAACTGCCAGCAGCAGGGCGGGGTGGGGCCATGCTGCGAGCCAACGCCTGCAGAAGAGGCGGCTCAACAGGTAGAGAGAAGGAGCCAGCTCTGGGTGAAATGAGCGAGGCGTATGCCAGGGGCACCGGAGGTTCTCATCTGGGTTAGCAGAGAACAGACAGGGAGGGAGTCCTGAAAAGAGGTGGCGACCGGAAATCTCCGGAAGAATGCATGAGAAAGGAATGATGCGAGCTAGAGCCACTTCCTTACCTGCAGGCCAGCAGTTGACAAAGGGAGACTGGAGACATTTTTAATGGACACCTTTTGTATCACAAGCACGCATTGCCTATTTACAAGCACCAACCAAAATATTTTTCAGGCTACCATGTGTGCACCGTGAATTAATGAGATTTTTCTGTTCTGAACTCAGTCCAATATATCCTCAAATCCTTGACTCATATGCTTGAAACTAAACACCTGAAGTGACAGTGACACAATCACATCTTTGGTGAAGCTGTGCTGAGAGCTGCCGGCCTGACTGCCTACTCTAAAAATAAAGAGCTCTACTACGCAGGTGATAGACAAGCGCACCCGGTGACAAGCTGTCTCCACGCGGGACTCCTCGCCTCCTTTTTCAACTTAGGTACCATCTTCTAAAACAAGGCTCCTTCTCTAAAATAACACCCATGTTTTTGTACTGTTAAGCTGAGCCCTCAACAAAATACAATAAATAACCCTTCCTCGATTTCCAAAACAGAAAACACTGCTGTTTGAGAATGCACCAGAACGTGGAACGCACTTTACAAAATTAGAATCAGGACTTCCAAATACTATTGAAATACTCCATGTGCCAGAAGTGCCAGAGGCACTCATATGTTCTTCTGTGGTGTGGTTTAAAAAAAAAAAAAAAGATTTATTTATTTATTTGAAAGAGTTACACAGGGACAGAAGGAGAGACAGAGAGAGCGAGTGAGCGAGAGGTCTTCCATCCACTGATTCACTCCCCAACTGGCCTCAACCGCCAGGAGCCAGGAGCTTCCTCCAGGTCTCCCATGCACATGCAGGGGTCCAAGGACTTGGGCCATCTTTCGAGATTGGAAGTGAAGCGGTGCCCACATGAGATGAGAGCAATGCAGATGGCAGCTTTACCCCCTACGCCACAGCTTGGCCCCTCTGGTGTGGACTTAAACAAAAGCAGCTGCCCACACACAGCTAATGAGGTGAGCCATAAACAATGTAACAGGTAAACGCAGTAAGTCCTCCAAAAGACTTCCATCATATGTTTCAATACTACTAGCAAAAAAAAAAAAAAAAAAAAAAAGGCTCTTAAAAAACAAAGGCCAGGCTTGGACTATCCCGATCACAACATTCTAAAAGGCAGGCTCCTAGGAGAAACAGCATCCTGTCAAGGCTACATGATATCCTTAAGGGTGTTATTTCTAAATCTATGCTAAGCACATTCCGTAGCAACTCTTCAGTACACCTACACCAAGTTGGTATTTAAATAGCCTGTGACCATCACTCAAGCTCGACAATGAACTTCAGTGGAAAGTCAACCACCACCCACTGCTTTCAAATCTCAACATTACACTTTTCAAACTGAATATGCTTGGATGGTGAATCAAAGGTGTTTCCCTATGCAGGCTTTCTGCCAGTAACTGCTAGTTTAAAGGGTACAGACACTACCGTTTAACCTGCCTTTTGCTTCCAAAGTGGTTCATTCAACCAAAACTAATGATTAAAAAAACTCACATTTTCCCTAAATTACCAAGGAAAAACAAAAAACCAAAGTTACCAAATTATCTTAGGTCTTGTATAATTCATTATGTAAACCTATAGAATGAATCAGTGATTATTAAAATTTCCAACACGAGACCAAATACAAATTTCAGACCAAAACAAAAATGAAGAGAACCTTTATAGATGACACTGCATTAGGCTTACAAAAGACAGATGGCTTTCATTTGGTGGTATGCAGAGAATTTCTAGGACTTTCAGGGCAGGGGTAGTCACCATACCACAGATCAGTGATTCCAAGACACATCTCCTTACATTTTTACATCTGGAAAATCTCCACGAGCCGCACACTGTGGTGTGATCCGTGTTACTGTCACTCCCACATGAGCCGCACACTGTGGTGTGATCCATGTTACTGTGTGACTCCCCCATGAACCAGGTGCTGTGGTGTGATCCGCGTTACTGCGTGACTCCCCAATGAACCGCACACTTGGTGTGATCCATGTTACTGTGTGACTCCCCCATGATCTGCACACTGTGGTGTGATCCATGTTACTGTGTGACTCCCTCATGAGCCAGGTGCTGTGGTGTGATCTGTTACTGTGTGATTCCCCCATGAGCCAGGTGCTGTGGTGTGATCCGTGTCACTGTGTGACTCCCCCATGATCTGCACACTGTGGTGTGAACCGTGTTCGTGTGTAACTTTCAAGCAAAGCCATTTTGGATTCTGGGAGGTAAGACAATGCTAACACTAACGTGTACTAAACACTTTGTAGGTACCAGACAGCGCTTCATGTAGTACCAACACCCTGACATGCCTCCAATTATTCCCCTGTACCTCTAAGAAGCAAAGAAAGGAGGCCACTTGTCTGAAGGCAAAGGTGGCGCAATGCAGCCCTCAGCCTGCGCAAGGCGGCCTGACAGCGCCAATGGGTCCTGTGAGCGCAGCCGAGCGTCTTAGAAGAGTGCGAACGCAGAGCTCCGAATATAAAGCACAGACATTAGTCCAAAGCATTTATTATAGGAAAACGTCAGAAGTCCTTTATCTCATAATAAATTATATTCGTGCAAAGACACCGAATTATTTTCTCTTCCAATACTTCCTGAAATTAATTTTCAAGCAATTAACATGGATTTCTATTTCTTAAAAATTCCCTACACTCTCTAGAGAAATAATGTAAGGACATATTCCTAAAACTTGTATCTGAATTCCATTTAAATGTTACTATTAAAATACTTCCAAATAAAACAACTGTACACAGCAATCCAGGAAGATTCCGTGGTACAAGTTGACAATGAAACTTACTGGGGTAAACTCACATGGGCAGTTACCAACTCAACCCTTGGCAAAAATCCTTGACACTTTCCTAAGAACACACCCTTTGCTCCATACTAGAGGTTACACTTCTTTTTCAGAAATGCAGTAAATGGAAGCTTTGCTTTCCTTACACAGTCTACAGAGAGAGCTAGTATTAGACAGCTGTGTGCCCAGCTCTCTGCTCAAATAAGCAGTCCCGTCTCTGTCACCAGCTTCCAGGATGCCCCTTCACTTCACTGTCTGGCCAATCGATTCCACCAGCCTGGCCGTGATGGCTGGTTCAGAGATAAGACTTGACCCAAACCAGGCCAATCATACAACAAGATTTAACTCCAGGACTGGGCTGCTCAGGAAGCCCACTTTAACCTTTCTGCTAGAATTAACACCAGGAGCACACAGCCATGGGAACTGCCGCAGCTTCCCCCCAGGAGCAAGGAGAGGAGAGCAGGGTGTGAGGTCCCCGTCCCACCTGGCACCATCTTTGGTCCCACTGGCACCATCTTCGCACTTTCCAGTTAATTAACTGAAGAAAATTCTACTGGGCCAATTTAAGGTAGCTTTCTGTTCCTTACATCTGAGAGCATCCTGCTTTTTAAAAAATGATAATAAAATGGTATCAGGACAAGCGGTATTATAAATAGAAGACAGAACTAGAAATGCAAATCGGCTGAAGAAAGGAAGCAAGGCAAAAGCCAACACACGCCTCACAGGCGCAGCCCGAGAAGGTAACTATCCTTATTTTCTCAGAGAGAAATAATCAGACAGGAGCCTGAGGTTGCCTTCAAGACTGCAGGGAGGACCAGGGGACCTGGGAGAGGAGTCACAGTACCCAAGTGTCCTGCCTACTTGTCCTGGAAGGAGAAGTGAAGGGGGTGGGTGTGTCTTTGCTCCAAGGGGCCTTCTTGCTACACACTGCAACCCAGGGAAACCAAGGGGCACGGAGGGAGGGAGCAGCAGAGACAGGGAGCGAAGGGTGGGCTTCACAGGGGGTGAGACTGTGGGGTGGGAGAACAGGAGGACCCCACCCTCCAGGCCGCTCCCAAACCTTGTCAGGTGTGCTCAGCCTGAAAACCGTGCACCTGCGGAGCCTGCAGAGCGCAGGCAATGATGTCTCCCACCCCATGCAACTGTTGCCAACAGCCCCTGGGGAGGCTCAGGAGAGGCCAGGAGACCAAAGACTGAAACTGGGCCAGGTCCTGCCCTTGAGAAAATGCTGGGCTTTTTGTCGGAGCCCCTGGAATCGCCCAGACACCCAGGAGAAGGCAGGCTAGGCCCTCGGGTGTCACCTGGTCAAAGAAACCCCAAGCCCAGTGGACAGCAGCCCGTGGCTGCCCAGTGCCCAGGCTCCCGACTCGCACAACGCTGCCCAACGCAGCCGCAGCCACAGCCACAGCCACAGCCACAGCACAGGCCCAGTCACTAAGGAGCTCATTAAGTCATTCATCCAGCGCCTGCGAGCACCATGTGCCAAGCAGTGCTCTGCCAGGACCCTTTGCTTCGCGGAACCTGTGCGCCAGGAGCAGACGGAAAACTATGCTGTTGGGACAGCCGGAGGGGTGACGGATAAGCCAGCAGACGCAAGGTGAGGAGTGCGGCAGTGAGGGAGGAGCGACGTCTCCAGCCAGGGAAGGGCTCTCAAACGCGGAGATCTGAGGGATGTGAGGGAGCACGGAGAGGAAGAGGATGAGAGCATTTCACAGGGGAGGGAGGGAGGGAGGCAAGGAGGGAGGGACGGAGGGAGGGAAGGAGAGAAAGAGGGAGGGAGGGCGGGTGGGTGAACTAAGTCAGGCTGAAGCCCTCAAGCCGGAACAAGCCTGCCACGTTTAGGACCAGGGTGGCTGTGGGCCTTAGAGGAACGCAGAGACGGGCCCCCGGGGGGCCAACCGTAGGATCCCGGGGGACGCCGTCTGATCCTAGAAGGCAGTGCCGGAGGGCTCTGGGAAGGGAGTGACACCATCTGCCATATGCTCTTGGAACACGGAGCTGGTGACCAGTTTAGTGGTTCCTGGAGTCCCAGAGGTGGGGGAGTGGGGCGGGGGGTGCCTACAAGGGGAGGAGCCTGCGCTGCAGTGCAATTCTGTGTCACAGCTGTGGCAGCGGTTACAGGACCTGCACATGTGAAAACACTGCACACACGCAAACACGGCACGCAGGACTGGTGAGAGCTAAATAAGCCGTCCGTCTCCTGGTTTTGCTATCACACCGTGGTTACACACGACGCTGTGGAGGGGAAAGGCTGGGGGGTACAGCGGGCCTCCCTGTACATTCTTCTCCAACCTTCTAGGAATCTGCAATGGCTTCAAAATTCTAAGCCTGCTATTTGAAGTATCGATTGAAGAAAAGTAAAAATAGAAAAAGAACAATGTGACACCAAGCCACGCCCACTGAAACAGTTAAAAGAAGAGAAAACACCAAAGTTGGCAAAAATACGGAGTAACTGAACTCTCACGCATCGCTGGTGGGAATGGAAACTGGTACAACCACACCGGCACAGAGTTTGGCAAGGTTTGATAAAGTTGAACACAGGTCTACCCTATGACGAAGCAAGTCTTGTCTTTTTTAAGATTTATTTATTTTTATTTGAAAGAGTTATGGAGAGACAGAGACAGACAGAAGTCTTCTACCTGCTGGTTTACTCCCCCCGAAGGCCCCAACAGCCAGTACTGGGCCAGGCCAAAGTCAGGAGTCAAGAACTTCTCCCAGGTCTCCCACATGGGTGGCAGGGGCCCAACCACTTGGGTCACCTTCTACTGCTTTTCCTAGGCCACAGCAGGAATGGGAAGCGGAGCGGTTGGAATGCAAACCAGTGCCCATATGGGATGCTGGCATGGCAGGCGAAGGCTTCACTTGCTTTGCCACAACACCAGCCCCCTCACCCAGCAATTCTACTCCTAAGTATAGATCCACCAGAACTGTATACACTCACTCACCCAAAGACACCCACCCAAATGTCAATTCCTAAAAGCCAAAATCAGAGAGCACCCAGTTACCCATCAACAGGCAGAGGGACAGATTACAGCATCGCCACCCAAGGGAACACTGACCAACAGAGAGGACACAAACAACAATACAGACATATCTCACATAACACTGGACAAAACAGGCCAACAAGGAGACAGTGTTTGGCACAGCGGTTAAGATGCCACTTGGGATACCCACATCCCATATTAGAGGACCTGGGTTCACCTCCTTGCTCCACTTCCAGTTCCACCTTCCTGCTAACGCCCACCCTGAGGGTGTTTCAACAAATAAGTCTTTCGAGGCTCACTTGGCTAATCCTCCACCTGCGGTGCCGGCACACCGGATTCTAGTCCCGGTTGGGGCGCCAGTTCTGTCCCGGTTGCTCCTCTTCCAGTCCAGCTCTCTGCTGTGGCCCAGGAGTGCAGTGGAGGATGGTCCAAGTTCTTGGGCCCTGCACCCCATGGGAGACCAGGAGGAAGCGCCTGGCTCCTGGCTTCAGATCGGCGCAGCACGCCGGCCGTAGCGGCCATTTGGGGGGTGAACCAACAGAAGGAAGACCTTTCTCTCTGTCTCTCTCTCTCTCACTGTCTAACTCTGCCTGTCAAAAATAAATAAATAAATAAATAAGTAAGTAAGTCTTTCAAATAAATAAGCCAATCAGAGGAGCATACATGGTATGGTTCCACTAACATCAACCTCAAATCAGGGTTTCACAAGTCAGGACAGTGCTTAGCATTGGGGGCTGAGAGGGTGGAAACGGGGCAGCAGAAACTCCCAGTTTATGGGGCTTTCCAGTCCCAGTACATTCCATTTCTTGATCTAGATCCAGGTTTCTCCATCACTTTTCCTACACGTGACTACTGATTATTGTAAACCATTCAGATCCGTTACAGCCAGATGAAGCCTCTGGAGTATTTCTGTACCACGCAGGAGACGGTATCAACTTAGGACAGACAAAACAACGCTTTTCCCCGCTGTACAATGTGCTTTTAGGGAATAAAACAAACTGCATGCTAATTTTTTAACTTAGAAATAAAAATACACACCCCAGAAAAGCCCTTTTTGAGCTTGGCTTCATATCTTGGCTCCAGGGAGGAATTATGTATGCGAATCCTTTGGAAACGACAAAGCACTGCACACATCCAAGGCCTTGGTATCACTGACATGTATGAACAGGCATCAAGAAATTCTCAAACCCGCCATTGTATGTAACATTTGTCAAAATCCAATTAAGTAAAACTTCGGGATTTTTTTTTTTACCTAAAGATCTAAGGGGAAAAAAAAAAGCCAACTACTGCAAAGGGTTCCCACTCTTTGTACTTTTACGGAATCGGATATCAATATTTCTTTTTTAGGCACTGTTAAAATTAAGAACAAGCCTTTAAAAAGTTCACAGCACACATATTGATTTGAAAATGTACTAATTACTACTGGCTTAGGCAAATGAGCTTCCTCACCTCCACTTCAGGGATGAGATGATTTTACAAAAGCAGTCAGAGGTAACACCAAATGACATTCCAAGTAAATTATATAAGCCAGCACTATTATTCATAATCAAGGCCCCAGTGTTTCAAAGAACTCCCTCTATGACCTGGGTCTTAGGGGCTAGTTCCAAATTCCTACACTTGATCTTAGCCAAAAGGCCGAGCAGCGGTTACCAGCTCCGAATTCCTGAAGGGGGAAGGGGTCATGGGGTCTTACGCTGATGTTTCAACGAGCCTTTTTGGGGAGGAGCTCTCAATATCAGAATAAACGCAGCCTGTGGGAAAGGCAGTTTGCTCAAAGCTACAGGGCAAGTGTGAAAGGAGTTTATCCTGCAGGAGCCAGGAGCCGTCCTGGGGAGGAAGTGCCAGAAACCGGGCACAGCACGAGATGCCGGCTGCGCGTGCTCTCGGCACTCTCAGTACAGTTATTTTCAATTTGAGAACATCGGCATTGTAAAGCAATTACTGTTCACAATTAACATACCAGTTGTTCCGAGAAAACCTTTTCTTCTTAAGAGCCCTAGGTTCTTTTTGTTTTTAACATTTTTAATTATTGAAAAGCAACATATGCTCAAGGAGGTCAGAGGAGGAGAGAGATTAACAACATAAAAGGAATCCAATGTAGTCTCAGTACCCCCTTCTCTCTCTCTCTCTCTCTCTCTCTCTCTCACACACACACACACACACACACACACACACACACGAACCCCTGCTTCTCCTCCTCCAGGCTCCCAGTTCCTCCCCAGAGGGACTCACAATATTCCCAACACTCACTATTCTTCCACTGAGAGCCTACAGAGACGGCCCACTTATAAACCTTGCGCTTGCTGTTCTACTTATTGTGCACACAGCACACACACTATCCACTTTTCCAAATCAGAATTCTTCCCCCTCAGGGCTGCATCTTGGAGAATGCTCCGTCTCAGAGTGAGCGCGGTGCCTTACTCTATGGACAGCCACGCGTCCTTGGGGTTACAGGGTAATCTGCTTACCTACCGCTCTGCTGACGCACATGTGGGTAGTTTTCAGTCTTCAAACAATGCTGCAATCATTTTGCACAGAAGACTTTGAATAGATATGCAAATACATCTGTAAGGAAGAAACCCTAGGGGCAGAACCGCTGGGTCCAAGGGCACAGACATTCATCTTACCAAGAACTGCCCTCCATCGCTGGCTACTGCCGCTACTGCGCCATCTACGTTCCCGAGAGCCCCTGCTCAGCCACTCCCTGGTGAGCGCTCAATGGTTTCAGAACTCTTTGGTCTGCCCATCTGAGAGATGAAGAAGTGTTTCATCCTGAGTTCTGACTTGTATTTTATTTAGTTCAAGTAGGGCTGATTGTCAATTTCAAATAAAGGAAAGAAAATGGATATGTAAGGGGAAATAGAACTGTGTCTTTTCACATATTTAAAAATCCATTTTTGTTTTCTTTTCTGTGACTTGCCCCTATTCTTTGCCTACTAGGTTACTGGTCTTCTAAAATTAATTTTGAAAGCTCTTCGTATGTTAAGAAAATCAGGCTGGAGCTGGCGCTGTGGCATAGCGGGTAAAGCCACTGCCTGCAGTGTCTGCATCCCATATGGGCACCAGTTCGAGTCCCAGCTGCTCCACTTCCGATCCCGCTCTCTGCTGTGGCCTGGGAAAGCAGCAGAAGATGGCCCTAGTCCTTGGGCCCCTGCACCCACGTGGAAGACCCACAAGAAGCTCCTGGCTCCTGATCAGCACTGGCCGCTGTGGCCAACTGGGGAGTGAACCAGCGGATGGAAGATTCTCTCTCTCTCTGCCTCTCCTTTTCTTTCAGAGTAAGTCTGATTTTCAAATAAATAAATAAATCTTAAAAAAAAAAAAAAGAAAACCAGACTTTCATTTTCACATCGATTAAAACTGCTTTCCCTAGCCTGCGACTGCACATTGATTTTATCCTATTTTTACAAGAAGAAATTTTCTATCCAGCTACTTTACTAAGTGCTTTACTGTCTGCAAGCGTTTTCAGCCGCTCTTCACTCCGTGCAGATAGCGACACCGTCACCTCGCCGTGAACAGCAGCAGGGTGGCCGCCCGCACTCTGACGTCTTACGTGACTGTGTGCATCCCTGACGGCTCCAGGTTTGAGCAGGAAGGCCGCCAAGGCTTCCCCCTTGAAGAGGAGGCCGGCTTCGGTTTGCAACACTAGTTCTCTCAGGAAGGTCTCTGCGCTCACAGAGAATGTGACAATCCATTCCTGAGCACTACTGTGCCAGGATCAGCAGTCGGTTCCATGGATTTTCTCCCATGTCAACGTACAGCACAAGTAGCTTTATCATTTACATGGTTACGTAGGCTAAGAAATAACAGCAACCCATCACTCTGTACTTCCAGCATGCTAGTCTATAAATAATTCATAAGCACTCATTAAAATACTGAATCCATCTTCATCAGGTCTTGGGCAGTACAAAAGCAAGCAGGTATCTCCCAGTACAGCCAGGAAGGCAGAGTCGTGCACAGATCGCGATTCTACGCACAGCCTCCGCCTTTCTTCCCTGAGGTTGCTTCTGTGGTGAGAAATGAAAGTCAGACCTTCTGATTCCTACTCCAGCATCTGCGCCCCGGGAAAGCACCAAGGCTTCAGACAGCCCAGCGGCCGCACAGCATACAAAGGAGGAAGCAGGCTGCCGTCTACGACAGCGTCAACTGCGGGCATCCGGAGAGCAAGCTGCGAGCTGCAGACATCGGAGACGCATCTCCCAGCAGGCAGCGGAGTAGGTTCAGGCTCAGGGCCCCGGCGTGGCCGACATTCCTCAGCCAATTAGAATTCCTGTCTGCCGAGGTGCAGGCCGCTGGAAGGGCAGAGGGGGGTGCAGCACCAGGGGCACTGATTGTGCGTCACTCAAGCCTTGTTTCAAACAATGAAATCCAGAAATGTGGGAACAACATTCCACTTAGTTTAAATATTTAAATGGATTCAACTGCATCTGGAGACACAATCCTAACTCTACCATTTGAAGAGGATGTGCCCCATCCGCACACGAGGCGCCTTTGTTTTTAAACACGGCTCCGCTGGCTCTGTCGGAGCGGGAAGGGCCTCCCAGAGTGTGCCTGGGATCACAGGCCATTCCAAGTTGGGAGCTTTCTCTAGGAAATTCACTCAAAAACAGCAAGCAAAGCAGTCATGTAAGTCAGGGACAAAGCCAGATTCTTCACATTCCTTATTTGCTCAAAAACACTTAACTTCTAAAACGGTTTTGAGATTACAAATATTTGAATCCTAAATTAAGAGCCCTTAAAGCCTTTCTCCGCTAGATAATCAGGGCAATGTAACGATATCAAAATTCTTCATCCATCTGAACTTTCCGAACCGCACAATAAAATGTGCTGTTTGGCCAGTACTCATAACAGTGTTACAAAACAGCCAGGCCAATTACCCGGATCATTGGGTTGATGTTGAAATATTATGGGTCAGTGTTTCCTTACTTCTTTCTTTTTTTCTTAATTCATGAGAAAATACCTCACCAGTAACCCGGCCTCCAGAACTTCCCCTCAACCAAACCAAGAAAACGAACATCTGTAGAAGAGAAAGAAAAACCTGAGATTCAGAACCAACTTCCTGGGGCCGGCGCCGTGGCTCACTTGGTTAACCCTCCACCTGCAGTGCTGGCAGCCCATATGGGCGCCGGGTTCTAGTCCCGGTTTCCCCTCTTCCAGGCCAGCTCTCTGCTGTGGCCCAGGAGTGCAGTGGAGGATGGCCCAACTCCTTGGGCCCTGCACCTGCATGGGAGACCAGGAAAAGCACCTGGCTCCTGGCTTCAGATCAGCGCAGCACCGGCCGTGGCGGCCATTTGGGGAGTGAACCAACAGAAGGAAGACCTTTGTCTCTCTCTCTCTCTTTCACTGTCTAACTCTGTCAAATTAAAAAAAAAAAAAAACCAACTTTCTTAGTTACAAATAATGGCGTTCTGAACTGTTAGAGCAAAAAATTCTGGTCTGATGCATCACAACTACTTTGAAAACACATATGGAATAAAGTCTATGAGAGATTTCATGTTTTGGGGCTGGGCTGTGGTGTAGTGGGTGAAGCCACTGCCTGCAGTGCCGGCATCCCATATGGGCACAGAGTTCCAGCTGCTCCACTTCCAATCCATAGCTCTCTGCTATGACCTGGGAAAGCAGCAGAGAATGACCCAAGTTCTTGGGCCCCTGCACCCACACAGGAGACCCAGAGGAAGCTCCTGGCTCCTGGCTTCAGATCGGTGCAGCTCTGGCCACTGCAGCCAATTGGAGAGTGAACCAGCGGATATAAGACCTCTCTCTCTCTGCCTCTCCTTATATCTGTGTAACTCTGACTTTTAAATAAATAAGTGAATCTTAAAAAAAATTTAATGTTTCAAGTCACTTAGGCGGGTCAATAAGATTACAAGGAGAAAAGGATTTTGAGGGTGGAAAGGTGTTTTTGTTTTTGTTTTTTTTTTTTTTTTTTTTTAAAGACAACAGAAATGTGATCAAATAACAAAATCGCTGATAGAACCTGCACTGGCACTGGGCAGAATGTGATTCCTTTGAAAGTATAAAACTGCAACTTGAGGTTTGCCACAGTGTTGGAACTAACCCATCCTACACTTGATCTTAGCCAGAGGGCCAGGAAGCAGAACTAACCCATCCTACATCTTTAGATAATCTGGTTCAAGACGTACCTAGGCTGTGCCCTCCTACATTTAACGAGGGCCTTAAGAAAACTGTCATACCCACTGGCTATCAACTAATCACTACTCCACCTCACCCCAGCAACCAGGTTACAGTTGTTGAAACAGCAGTTCTGCCTGGGGGCTGGCACTGTGGCCCATCGGGTTAAGCTACCCCTACAGCGCTGCCATCCCATCTGGGCACCAGCTGGGGTACAGGCTGCTCCACTTTCGATCCAGCTCCCTGCTGATGCACCTGGGAGAGCAGCAGCAGATGGCCCGAGTCCTTGGGCCTCTGCATCTATGTGGGAGACCTGGATGAAGCTCCTGACAGCCATCTGAGAAGTGAACCGTGGACCAAAGATTCCTTTCTCTTCCTCTCTCTCTTCCTCTCTCTCTCCCTAATTCTGATATAAATAAATAAACCTTACAAAGTTCTGCCTTCCTTAATGTTTTTATTGATACAAATCAACAAAGTCAGAACATTTTCTTAAAATTTTTTTTTTTAATTTGACAGGTAGAGTTAGAGAGAGAGAGAGAGAGAGAGAGAGAGAGAGAGAAAGGTCTTCTTTCCATTGGTTCACTCCCCAAATAGCTGCTATGGCCGGTGCTACACCGATCTGAAGCCAGGAGCCAGGTGCTTCTCACGGTCTCCCATGTGGGTGCAGGGCCCAAGGAGTTGGGCCATCCTCCACTGCCCTCCCGGGCCACAGCAGAGAGCTGGCCTGGAAGAGGAGCAACCAGGACTAGAACCCGGAGCCCACATGGGATGCCGGCGCCGCAGGCAGAGGATCAACCAGTGAGCCACGGCACTTGGCCTCTTAATCTTTAAGAGAAACTTAAATCTTTGAATCAACTGTTTGATCACTTGTTACTGATCAATTAAAAATAGCCATTATTAACACCATTTCTCTCCCATGTTTGTTAGCAGCAAAGCCGAGACACAAGGCGGTGTGACACAGCTTGTGCTAACTTCCAAGACAGCCGCACATCTCCATGTGCTATCAAGGAAGGTCTCCTGCTTTCTCTCTACGTGGATGTGAATTCTTCTCTTCGCAATACACAGTCACGCTCCAAAGATACCAGGCCAGCGAGCATTTCCAGGCAGGAAAGCACGTGGTGTTTCACCTGGCTGCTGCACAGAATAGAATTTCATTTTCCTGAAGAGCACTGTGGAACCCTTAGGGCTCTGAATCCCGTTCTTTTGCCCAAAATGGCCTAAATAATGTTAACTGAAATTCACCTCTATACCATGTGAGAAGTTTTTGCAAATCTTGCTCAAATTTTACATCAAAATGTTTCCAAAATATCCGATTTGCCAGTGAACTCTAAAACGGCTCCAAAATAATGCTCTAAGACACTGGATTTTGCACATATTTTGCCCCTAAGCCTACAGAAACCACTTAAAAGCTATTTTCCTACTAAAATATCACAATAGCACTCATTGAATAACATTATCTTTTAAAGATTTATTTATTTTTTGAAAGAGTTATAGAAAGAGGGAACGACATAGAGGTCTTTCATCCACTGGTCCACTCCCCAGTTGGCCGCAACGGCCAGCACAGGCCAGGCTGAAGCCAGGAGCCTGGAGCTTCATCTGGGTCTCCCACGTGAGTATCAGGGGCCCAAACACATGGGCCATCTTCCACTGCTCTTCCCAGGCCATGAGCAGAGAGCTGCATCAGAAGTGGAGCAGCAGGGACTCAACCCAGTGCCCACATAGGATGCCAGAGTCGAGGGCCGCAGCCCTACCCACTACACAACAATGCCAGCCCCAAAATAACATGATTTCAAATATAAAGACTCAAACAGTGGCTGGCATTGTGGCTCGGAGGTTTAAGTGCTGCTTCTGCCCCCGAATCCTGCATCAGAGCGCCAGTTCAAGTCTGGGCCACTCCACTTCCACCCCAACTCCCTGCTCATTCATCCTGGGAGGCAGCCGGGCCCCTGCTGGGGAGGCGGCTCCAGGCTTCAGCCTGGCCCATCCCGAGCTGTTGCAGGCACTGGGGAAAGTGCATCAGCGCCATCTCTCCCTCTCTCACTCCCTTCCTCTCCACTTTTCAAGGGGGATGAAAACAAACATTTTTATTTCCATTTTTAAAAAGGACATTCTTCTGTCTAGACCAGATTTCCAGAGCAGTTCAGCATATTACCCACAAGTGTTTTTTGTTGTTAAAAAAAAGTCCCACAGGAAAAAACACTCATAAACAATACATAATATGAATGGGAGGCATAAATCAGACTCAAGTGCCATGCTGGAACACGGATTTCTGAATACCAGGATTGCGAACAGAAAGGATACATGCCCAACCACGACGTGAAATCAGTAGACAGACTAGGCCGGCGCTGTGGTTCACTAGGCTAATCCTCCGCCTTGCGGCGCCGGCACACCGGGTTCTAGTCCCGGTTGGGGCGCCGGATTCTGTCCCGGTTGCCCCTCTTCCAGGCCAGCTCTCTGCTGTGGCCAGGGAGTGCAGTGGAGGATGGCCCGGGTGCTTGGGCCCTGCACCCCATGGGAGACCAGGAAAAGCACCTGGCTCCTGGCTCCTGGCTCCTGCCATCGGATCAGCGCGGTGCGCCGGCCGCAGTGCGCCGGCCGCGGCGGCCATGGGAGGGTGAACCAACGGCAAAGGAAGACCTTTCTCTCTGTCTCTCTCTCTCTCACTGTCCACTCTGCCTCTCAAAAAAAAAAAAAAAAAATCAGTAGACAGACTGACAGAGCCTGTGAAAAGCAGATGAAGGACGTCCCAATGGCCGGACTCTCGCGGGCCCAGGGAGGTGAAAGTGTTCCCTGTCTCCGACCACACATTCCCCCGCTCGGAGTCCAAGGCTCTAGTCACCACCAGATACGGCTGTGGGCCCAACCGTTCCAAATGCTCCCTTCTAGTTCCAGCGTCTTCCTTGTCTTTCCAATGAATTGCACTCTGTGTGGCACTCGCAGACTGGTTAGAATACCCTCCATTGTGAAAAGTCATTATGTTCAAATATCAAACACGGAAATGAGATCTTTGAAACCCATAACTTAATTACTCAACTCTTTGAAAGATCATTGTTATCCACAAATGCCATTAGCAAGATTTCAAATTCCCCTGAAAACCATAAAGACCAGACCAAAATCTATTCCATCTTCAACTAAACACCAAGTTCCAGCATTTCCACCCAAGGTAAGGCTAGGAAGATGACCAGCACCACTACACCCTTCTGCTGCGAGGGAGACCACACTCAAACCGCTGGACACCCGGTGTTCCCGAGAGCCCCCACCCACCAACGCCGCCCCGGAGCACGTCTGTACGTGGCACGCCTCGTTCCTGAGCCCAGCCACAGCCTGGGAGGAGAAACCAGGGTCCCGGCCCGGCCGGATTCACACACGCGCACCTGACACACCTGCCTCTGAAACACCATCTCCACCCAACTCCCCAAATCAATCCCTCTGCTGTTTAACAGAACGAACCACTGCGATGCCAATGGCAGATCACGTTGCAGACCAGAACCAAGCGGGAGTGGCCAGGGACTGCGACTGTCTGCCACCACCGAGGTGGCAAGGTGCGCGCTGCCTCCACGCGGGACAGGTGCTCCCTCTCGCCCCCCGCGCCGGCGGGTGCACCTGCTTGTCCACAGAGCCAGGGTCAGCGTTGGGCCTAACCGTTCCCTGATCTTACGCCGCTGTGCGAATGGTTCTAAACTCAAACCAGAAAGAGGGCTAGTGCCAACCACTCTGAACTTTTCAAAGTAAAACTGACTTTTGAGGGGGGAAGAAAAATCACCCATTGTCGTTTTCGCGGATTTGACCGACGACAGCTGGGCCTCAAAAGCGGGCGTTCCGACCCCTGAGCCCCGACCCGGGGGTCCTCGCACAGAGACCCGCGGGCCCACGCCGGCGGGGACCCCACTCCGCAGGGCCGGGGTCCGGGAAGCCCCGCAGGGTGCGGACAGACGCCGGGGGCCGGCGACGGAGGGAGGCGTCCACGCCCCCGCGCCCCCCGAGCCGCCGCCGGGCGAGGACACAGCGGGAGGAACGGCGGAGCCCGCGCCGCGGCCGGGTGGGCGCGCGGGCAGCGGGGGTCAAGTGCAATGCAGCGGAACCGGGGCGGGGGGGAGGGACCTAGGCGGGCGCAGGCCGCGGCCCGGGCAGACGGCCGCCGTCGCAGGACCTGGCGGGAAGTGAGAAAGAACCGGGGGACCCGGCTGAGGACCCGAGGCTCCAGGAAGAAAAGGGTGGAGGCCGGGAGACCCCAGCGAGGGGGCGGGGCCAGCACAAAATGCGGGGCGGGGGGCGGGACCGGGGGAGAAGGCAGGCGGTGGGGGGGGGGTGAGGAAGGGGCTGGGATCCAGGGGGAGGGGGAGGAGGGGAGAGAAGGTGGAGGAGGGGGCGAGAAACGGGCGCTGGGGGCCAGGGGACAGGGACAGAAAGGCCGGGCTGCGGCCGGGCCGGGGGTGGGCGGCGAGGGGACAGGTGGGGGCAGACGCCGGGGGCGCCGAGCCCGGCGGGCGCGGGGCCCGGGGAGTCGGGGGGCGCGCGGAGGGGGCGGGGCCGGGCCGCGGCGAGGGGGCGGGGCCGGCCGGGAGCGGCGAGGGGCGCACGCCGGGGGGGCGGGGGGAGACGAGGTCCTGGGACAACGGCCGGCGTGGGGGAGGGCGCCCCCGAGGGGGCTCCGGGGGCCCGAGGGGGCGCCCGCGGCGCGGGTGGGCCTCCCGCCCGCCCTACCTGTCAGACGGATCTTGATGCTGGAGCCGCTTCTGCGCGTCCCGGGGTTCGACATCTCCCGCCAACGATCGGGCAGCCGCGGATCCAGCGCCGCCGCCGCCCCCCGACCCGGCCCGGCCCGGCCCCGCCGCCGCCGCCGCCTCAAGGTTACGGCTCCGGGCTGGGCGCCGGGGTCCGAGCCGGGACACAAACTCCGCGGCCCAGGCGTCCGGGCGGCGGAGCCCAGGGGATCGGCGCTCGCCCCGGCGCCCGGACCCTCGTGGCTCCCACCGAGCCCAGTCCTGAGTCGCCGCCGCCGCAGCCGCCTCCACCACCTCGGAGCCGGACGCCTGCCGCCCTCGCCGCTTCCGCCGCCGCCGCCGCCGCCGCCTCCCGGAGCCGCGCGCGCGCCCGCCGCCGTGCGGGCCCGGCCCTGCGCGCGCCCGCCGCCGTGCGCCCCCGCGCCTGTGTGCGTGCGCGCGCCCGCGGCACGTCGGGGGCGGGGCACGCCGCCGCCGCCAGCCCGCTCGCTCCTCGGGCGCGCGCCGGGCCTGCAGGCCGGGGGCTTCTCGCTTCTTCCCGCTCCCGCGGCGCCCGAGGGGATCTGCGGATGCGGACGCTGAGGTGGGGAGAAGGGGCGTCCCCGGGTGTCGCGCTCCGGGCTCCGTCCTCCTGACGAGCTGTTGAGAGCCGCGGGCTGGCGACCCGGTTTGTTGGGAGAGGCCGGGGGAGAGACTTGGCGCGGAGGCGGCGTCTGCGCCCCGTGGCCCCATCGCGGAGTGGCCGGCGCCGCGCGTGGGGACAGGAGAGGGGTGGACTGTGCCCACGGTCTGCCCAGACACCGCAGCGGCCCCGGGGCCGCCTTCTCCCCTTGCTTCCCGAGTGGCCGATTCCACTAAGGAATCCTTAGCCTGTTCTCCGGCCGTTACCGCGTCCGGGGGGAGGACACACGATTTTGTCCCGAGGAAAAGCAGGCTTTGTTTTTTTTTCTCTCCTGTTTTTGACCCGCCTCCTGTGCACGAATTTGCCACCAGGCCTGGATCGCGTCCGGGTGCCCAGCAGCGCGGGCCCTGGGCCTTTGCTGAGGTCGCGCCCCTCGGGGAGGCCGGGAGCACCTGCACGCGCCTGCCTGGCTGGCTGGCTCGCTCCCGGGCTGGACGCAAGGGCTCCGGGCTCGGCACCTGCCCTGGACCGTGCCTGTGGCCCCGCGCAGACTGTGAGTGATCCTGGTGACAAGTGCAGGAATCCAAGCTGTGTCCAAAGCAGGGGACCAGGACCCAGCCATGTTCCCGTTCGCAGGCACCTTTTAGGGTCTCCAGGGATCCCCACTCTAATGTCCGGCGGGTCAGCGTGCCCCCAACCCCACTCCTGTCCATTGATGGTGTCCTCAACACGCCCATCGGGTGGTCTCTGGAAACCACTTCTCACTAACAAGTGGCTGCGCTTGTCACTTAACCGCTTACACGCACCTGCCGAGAGCACCTTGGGCCACCTACTGTGTGCCTGGGAACAAGACACAAAAGAAATCCATCAGCATCCCAGAGGCTCGGTTCCCTGGGCGATCCAGATCAGCTGATGACGAGCTGGTGATAGGCGTGTGTGCAGAAGGCTAAGACACACATGATAGAACCGTCCTGCTGGAGGAGAGAGCTAGGGGGCCATCTCAGAAGGGAGAAGACCTTGACCTAGGGTGTAACGAAAGGCAGTGTGCAAGTTCACTGGGCAAAGAAGTGGGGAAGGGCATTATAGACAGGGAACAGACTATGCAAAATCATGAGCATCCATGCGTTTCCTGGCAGTTGTCCCTCTAAGTGCAGTCACACAGCTACTGAACCCTCTGCCCATGCGCCTTACACCACTGAAAAGATCTTTGTCCCCTTAAAAAAAAATCACTGGAGGCGGGAAGGTGAGAGACCCAGCTTGGGCCACGGCATCCTATATCAGAGTGCCTGGGTTCAAGCCCTTGTTCTGCTTCTCATCCAGCTTCCTCTGTGTGTGTGTACCCCGGGAGGCAGTGGTGAGGGCTTAAGGACGTGGGTCCCTGCCACCCACAAGGGAGACCTGGATGGAGTTCCAGCCGGCTTCCTGACAGCAGCCCCGGTTGGCTGAGCCCCAGATGTCGCAGGCATTTGGGGAATGAAGTAGCAAAAGCGAATCTCCTCTCTCCTCCTCTCCCCTCTCCCCTCTCCCCTCTCCCCTCTCCCCTCACTCCTCTCCTCACTCCTCCCCCCTCTCCTCCCCCCTCTCCCCTCTCCCCTCTCCTCTCTCTCCTCTCCCCTCTCTCCTCTCCTCTCCCCTCTCCCCTCTCTCCTCTCTTTCTCTCTCTCTCTCTCTCTCTGCCTCTCACTATGCCTTTCAGATAAATAGTAAACAGAGAACCATGAGCCACTATTTTGTTTTCAGGCTGTGCAGCCCAGCCTGCGTTGACCTTCAGGCATACCTTAACGTGCCTTTATCGTGCGTCAGAGTCGTCAGGAAGGAACACCGTCTTTTTTTTTTTTTTTTTTTTTTTTTTTTTTTTTTTTTTTTTTTGACAGGCAGAGTGGACAGTGAGAGAGAGACAGAGAGAAAGGTCTTCCTTTTGCCGTTGGTTCACCCTCCAATAGCCGCTGAGGCCGGCACGCTGCGGCCAGCACACGGCGCTGATCCGATGGCAGGAGCCAGGTGCTTCTCCTGGTCTCCCATGGGGTGCAGGGCCCAAGCACCTGAGCCATCCTCCACTGCACTCCCGGGCCACAGCAGAGAGCTGGCCTGGAAGAGGGGCAACCGGGACAGAATCCGGCACCCCGACCGGGACTAGAACCCGGTGTGCCGGCGCTGCAAGGCGGAGGATTAGCCTAGTGAGCCGCAGCGCCGACCAGGAACACCGTCTTCTAAAGCTGCCTGGGATCGCTGGGAAATGGAAAAGCTTTCTGCTCAGACGGGGGTGTGTCAGCTGAGTCCTTCAGGTGTCCGTGCAGGTGTCCGTCCCTGCTTTGGAAGCTGAGTCCATGTAACCCCAAATGCATCACTTCTCCATGTCAGTGTAACAGGTACGTGAAATGTTTCCCAGTGGAGAGGGGAGGGTCTTTCTTTGGCTCTAACTGCAGGAGCCTCTAACTTGTGTTTGTCCCAAACCTCTTTGAGAATCTTCTGGAAGCTCTGCAGCCTTTTCCCCAGAAAAATTCATACGTAAGAAATACACATCAAATTTTGCATCTGATTTCAGTGGCTTTATGAACTCCTGAAACCAACTTGTGCATGCTGTAACGGCCCATGGTCCTCAGGCTAAGAGCCCGTAAAGGAAGTGATGAAACAAGGAACAAGGAATGTCCAAAACATACGTGTTCAGGAGCAAGGACAGTAACAGCCGCTCGTAAAGAGAAGGGGTGTACCACGGAGGGCAGCTGTGGCCCGCACAGACCCACACTCTGCACTGGCGGACCACGTTGCCTGCTGGTGCCGCAGGACATTCTCTAAGCCCCACTTTGCTCGTCTGTAAAATGGGGTTAATGCTGCCTCTGCCGGAACATTTCTCAGTGAGGCGTCAGTTAAATCAGGGGCGCAGATCTGGCAGATACCGCATGGCCTTGTTAAATGGTAGTTCTTATTAGGACATACAAAGTGCGCGGTAGATATGGCTCCCAGACCTGCTAGTGCTGTCACCCTGCGGAGATCTGCTTGGGAAACCGCAGGAGGTCCTTGGTGAGAGGGGTCAGCTGTAACAACTGCCTCTGAGCGTTCACCTCTCGTCCCGCTGGTGCCGCCAAGGCCAGCAGCTCCTACGGATTAGCCTTCGGGTCTTCATCACATTTTTAAAATAACTGGATGGGACCAGCCTAGTGGTGAAGCTGGTTAAGCCACTGCCTGCAACACCAGCAGCCCATAGCAAAGTGCTAGTTCAAGTCCCAGCTGTGCCATTTCCATTCCCGCTCCCTGCTGACGCTTCTGGGAAAGCAACTAAAGATGACCCAAGTGCTTAGGCCTCGGCACCCATGTGGGAGACCAGGATGGAGGCCCAGCCTCATGGCTGCGGCCTGGCCCAGTCTGGGCTGTTGCAAGGATCTGGTGAGTGAACCAGCAGATGGAAGATCGCTGTCTTGCTCTGTCTCTGTGTGTGTGTGTGTGTGTCTCTCTCTCTCTTGCTCTGCCTTCCAAATAAATAAATCATTTTAAAAAGTAACTCTAGATGTACAAAACTGGCATTAATTAGGACTTCTGTTTATTCTTCCATGCCCAGAGGTCTTTGGAGTCTTCGCAACCTAAATATTACCAATGTGCAAGCCTGGAGAAATTGCTATCCTCGGTAAAGGTTATTACTTGTTTTTGGTCATTGTAATTTTTATTGAGATCATTGTAGATTCACAGGCAGCTGTAAAAACAATTAGTACAGAGGCACTTGGTACGCCTTTCCATAGTGGCTTCACTTTGCAAGTCTGTACTACGAAAGTGCATCAAAACCTCCACTGAAAATGTGTGTTATAAAGGAATCGAGCCAGCGCCGCGGCTCACTGGGCTAATCCTCCACCTTGTGGCACCGGCACACCGGGTTCTAGTCCTGGTCAGGGCGCCGGATTCTGTCCCGGTTGCCCCTCTTCCAGGCCAGC